CGCAATTTTGATTTCAGGCTTGAATGCCTATTAATTAACCAATAGAAAACAGTATAATTCCTATTTAATAGCGATTATGTCTGTCCATAAAAAGTTTGGGGAAAATAATTTCACCCTTAGAAAGACTTAAAATAGTACTGCAGTAATTTTTTATAATAATAATAATAATTTGCTTTATTCCAGAAACAGTACAGTGGTACAGTGTGGAATTTTCAGCACATATCTACAATATTTGCATCTAATTTTACCGACGTTTAAAATAAGTATTAAACAAACAAAAAAAAAGTAAATCTGAAGACACCAACAGCAAAAAAAAAAACCAAAAAAAAAAGAAAAAACAGGATAAACACAAAATAATTATGAATGCGAAAAAGTACCAAAGTCTGCCAAGGTCTAATGCAGTGTTTATGGTGGTAGTGTGAGTAATCCTGAATAATACAAAATTTTTTGAGGTGGTGACTATGGCATTCACAAACAATGATTGTCAGTTTAATATTGCCGAAAAGTATAGAAAATAAGAAAAGCAACCACAAAACTAATAATTACATGATGGTTAGTGACAGGACAATTTTGTAATACTCATAGTGCTAATATAGTCGGAACCAGTGATACACAATAGAAGGAATATAGTAAAGTACAAAAAAGGAAGCCAATGTTAATATTTCAGGTAGCTAAGTAGTTTGAAGAAGGAGTTCACTAAAGAATACGAAATAAGAGAGAAATAAAAGAGTGTGAAATTATGTTGTTAATAACAAAGCAAGTCACAGGTTTCACGCCTAACATTGTCTCTGTCGCTTAGAACACGGGCCAAGTATGGTATCGTTGAGTTCCTGTACTTGGTTGTACGAGTATAGATTCTTTTATACTGATTTCTGGTTTTACTTGATGAGATACAAGGAGAGAGTTGGGAATCCGTTTAGTGAGTGTTTTTCATTCTGATTTGCAGAAATAGGCAGATTTAGCTGCATTATTTATTATTATTCTCTTGTCTTCCTAGCGGAACATCTTCACTTTGTTCTATTTTCTGCCATCCGCTTCATCTGGGTCCACGATTGGCCATAATCCCTTACTTCCTCCAACTCACACGATCTCTTCCATGTCACTTTCACAACAACGACACACTCGTCACCTCCCACTCAGGTTCCACTCAAGCCATGGCCTGGCACGTGATATTATTCAACGGTCTCCTCAGCACATGGCCAATCCATCTCCATTTTCTCCTACATATTTCTTGGGCCAAAGGTTCTTGGTCAATTCGTTCACATAGTTTCTTGTTGCTAATTCTTTCTGGCAGGCTGGCCATTTGATCTTCAGTATGCAGCCAGCGAAGGCGGCAGCTCTTGATAAAACTCTGTAACTTGTTGGAAATGCTTTTCGTTGATGCGCATCGCACGTTTTCGACCCATATAGAAGAACTGACTGATTAACCGACTTCACATTTGTATTGAAAATCCGAATCTTGATATTTTATGCTGCTGAGATGGATTGCAGAAGATTTCCAAACTGGTTTCAGGTTGATGAAGGCGTATTTCGCCTTTCCGATTCTGAATTTGACATCTTCATCCGTTCCATTAACCTGTGTTTTAAACCGTGCTTCCTAGCCAGATATTTGAAGGAAGTGACCTCTACCAAATCTCTCCCATTGATGGTGATTGGTGCCAGTTGTTGTGATTGTTGTTCGTTGGTTATCCTCACCACCTCCGTCTTCTTAATGTTCACCTGAAATCTGTCCTGTCTTCGCTGCACTGCTTCTTCAGTCAGCTTGCTGGTTTTTGCCTGTAAGTCTTCAAGTTTATGTGACATTTAATGTATATCATCTGCGAAATCCAGATCTTCTAGAGTCTTCTTATCGGTGGTCCAGCGTATTCCTGTCTTTTTTTGATTATAGCTTGATTCTACACCGTAATTTTTGCACAAATATGGAATTTTCAACATGTGGTATCGGTAGCCCAAATTTTGCAGACCGACCATTGATATCAGGTGTGTGTCGGCCATGTGTATAGTCGGCGAGAGTCCTAACCACTGTTCTACCGACGCACTCCCATGGACAGTTTGTTGCATGATCCAGTCCACCTGAATTAGGAATATCATCATCGGTGAAAATATGCAGCCAGCTTGTTGTACTCCTGTAGGCACTTCGAACGTCTTACTGAGTTTTCGGGCACTGCACTGATGTTATTCAGTCTGCACTAAACAAAGGACTAGACGAATAAGATTAATTAAGATCTATTATCTGATGAAATTATCCATTATAGTGTTTACAAGAAGTCGATCGAGGGGTCAAATAGCTTAGTGGTAACGTCTCTGACTGCAGTACAGAGTGATCCCGGTTCGAATCTCAGAAGGGACATGAATTCCTTCAGGGTTGCAGATGCGCCTTGCTGACTGATGACTGGCAATCAGCACGAAACTTAGATCGTAGACTTCCTGTGAGTTCCCTCCAACCATCTAATCACGCCAGTTCAGAGTGCACCATGACAGCGAGCTACCTAGCTTGATGTGGCGGTCACATTGTAAACTTGACTGATGGAATTCAGCCTTCACCAAAACGAAAGGACTACACACATGACATTAGTGACTATTATCTACTGTCCAATAAATATCTATAAATGCCGAGAAGTTCAAGTGATCAGACAAACAAGAAATATACGCATTACAACACTAGTAACTTTTTACTCACTCACATCCATCACAAAACAAACACAAAACAAAACAATCACAGACAATCAGCACTGAACAAAAAGTATGCAGTAAACATAACTAATGCTGTGATGAGCGCTGTATGCAAGCCGAAATTGTAGACAACAATTTACTTCAATGTTTACGTCCCGAATCAGGGTCATAAGAAAAAAACAATGACAAAGCTTAATCTTGAGGAACTCACCAAACTTGCGAATACGATTCGCAGATATATATGGCTTAACTTTCTGAGAAACGGTCATAAGCAGTACAGAATAACCTTCGGGAAGAAAACAACCAATCAGAAGACGTTGCTTCTCCGCTGACAATAACGTGCACAAAAATCTATAAATATCTCTTGATTTTCTCAATAAATAATCTGTTGCCTGTCCCTTGTCTCTTCTGTCGTTTATTTCATAAATCAAATATTCTCTCATCACATACACACACACACACTACTAGTACTACTACTTAAATACCTTCAATTAACAATTGAATACCAAGATGTAGAGAGAAAGATAGCACTGAAATTCCATTTCTTTTTTCTTTCTTTCTTATTTCCCATTCTCTTCTTAAGCAAAAAATAAAGAAGACTGAAATATCTCATCTATGCATATATGTTATGTAGAGATAGGTAAGTGTTGGGTTAAGAAAGGAGGTCTGCAAAGTATATAAATTCTTTGTCGGCTGAGTTATTTTACTTACTATTTTCAGAACACAAAAATGTAGGACACAGTAGTACTATTACTAGTAGTAGTAGTCATATAGCTTTGGTATTTTTGTGTCACAGCATTCACTGACTACTGGATAAGAAAAAAAATAAGACACATAAATTATTGTTTCAAAATGATAATGCACAAAATTAGTGTGTGTTTTTTGCTTTTGTCACTTCTGAAGGTGTTGGTAGAAGCATGCATACTATGTGGAAAGTAGACAAAATAGGAGAAGATTTTTCACGGAAAGTTTTAGACTATAAGCTGGATATTGATAATATGAAGATTACTCATTGAATGATATTTATAAAGACGAAAATAAACAGACTTTTCTTTGGGTTACTTTTGTACTTTTAATGTTCACTTAGTAGGATTGACCACCCTCTGTGTAACGATGATAATATCACGCTTTTGTCTAGTATTTGGTTGATGGTGCAACTTCAATTTATGGTTATCCACTAAAATGCACATTTCTCTTCTATTTGAGACTGGCCAGTGAGTGAGTAACTGATGGCGTTCCCGCTGAGACTCGAACCCATTACATGTCACATCAAACGCCTGAGTTTTATTCGCTTTACAACGTGGGTCGCGAGAGTCAGCTGTAGTGTAACTGGCATCTGTTATTATTTGTTTTATGGGTATTAGGTTCGAGTCATATCTGGAGCACTATCACTCACTGTGGAATGCAGCTACATTTGGCTAATGGGTCCGCAATAACACGAAATGTGCACTCTGCTAGGTTTCATTGCTAGTCACTATCCACACAAAATAACATAATGTTATTCCTCAAACATCGTAAAAGATTCAGTACCAGGAGCCGACATGTCAACAGAGACTGAACATATCCGTCTAATCGATGTGAAATGCAGAAATTAAATTAAAGCCAATTTGTTTAGTTAACATATGTTTAAAACTTGGGCATTGTGGTAGTAGGTGATTCCATATTAGTTTGTTTATTAGATATATCACACAGTGATGAAACAATATTATTTACTGGATGATACAGTTTCGATCACAATTTATTACTGTTCAT